CAGGCGCTTCTGCTGCTGTTTCCGGTTCAAAAGAGGCTTGACCTGCGGAATGCACCACCTGTAGCCCATTTCCTGCACATAGAGGCTCTGGATGTTTCCACTCCAGACTCATCCACTGCTTTCACAGGTTGTTCAATGTCTGGAATCAGTTTTGAGTTATAATCCAGGCTGGGAGTTTTTAAAAGCCTCAGGAATCTTTTGCAGGTGTTTAGAGTTAATTACTTGATTCAGATAAATTGCTCGTTTAGAGAATCTTTACATGCTATGCAAATTTTTTGAGATTTCATTTTGCTCCATCAAAGCTTTCCGTAATGTTTTAAATATTATACATTTTTGTTGACATCTATAGTCATTCATGCGGTAGGTGAAAGGTGATTTGGGTTTGTTGTTTCAAAATAAACGTCTTGTTTCAATTGAATCCAGTATTACGTATTACAAACGCCGTCATTCCAGCTTAAAGTAAAATAAAAGAGTTGTTTTGCTAGATGAGCTGATGAATATGTATTCATTCACAAATATGCAATCTTTAAAATCAATGGTGAAAAAAAACACGCAAACGCTTGTACGTCCGGTTCATTGAGCTGCCAATCAAAACCGTACTATCCAATGAGGGCGAACCACTGTTATGCCCGCCCCCATGGAAAGTTTATGCCAGAATAAAAAACGTAACTTTCAGGATCGCAAATGAAAAATTAGAAAGCAAAAGCAAACATGCTGAGAGGGTAATCAAAACTCTGAGAAGCTTAAAACGGAACAAACAAAAAATGAAGTGTATTTAAAAACAAATAATTACTTGATTACTTTTGTTTTCAGGCTGATTTTTTTTCTTTGTAATCAATTTATTTGTGTTAGTTTTTGCTGAAATTACGTGCATATTTTGCCACAAAGTGAATTCCATAATCCTGCTGACAAGCATTTGTGCGAATCTCCATTCGGATTGGTTTGCAGAGGCCTTAACTGTGGAACTTCCACTCGATTGCTTGGTTTGAAGGGTTATCAGCTCTAGGAAGAATCCTTTTGATTCTGAACCGCTTCCATTATGTATTGTTAATATTTAAGACTCAAGTTGTTCTGTTCATTGTATGAACGGAAAAGAACAGGTTTATTAATGCATTAGGATAATCAGAAAAGCATTTCAGACACCTCGTGGCCGGGAGGCTCTTTCCGTCCTGTCCGTTACATGTTGCAGATACCCAAAAAGAGACCCTTTGAAAAGGGGAGACGGTCTAAATGGCCCCCCCCCCCCACAGGAAACATGTCATTTCGCGCGTCATAGAGACACACCAGCGCATATTTTAGCGGAACTGAATAACATTATTATCAGTTCTATGCAACATTTACAATTTTCTATCACAGTATGATGGAGGCCACACAGTCCTATCTCCTGAGTCTATACCATTTGTTTGTTTTGGTGCTCTAACGTACCATCTATCATCTGTGGAACCTTATCTACAACACAGCCTTTCAAAACCATCAAAGTTCAGCACAATGGACTGATCAAAGCCATATGGACACTGTAATTTTTTTTTTATTTGCAAAAACCCTTCAAAAACCTTTTTTCCTATACTTGTGAGGTATAGTGTGCAAAAATGTGATTGAATCCATTTCTAACTAAGGCTATAACAAAATAACTTACATTGTCGAGTATACTCAATTTTATTGGCTCATTTAAACCATTTGCGAAAAATCAGGAGACTATTTCAGATGTAATTTAATGCGTAAGTTTAAACCCACACATTCTACAACAAGATCTGGTTTCAGGTTCATCTTCAGAAAAGCACTGATATATGAGTCTATAGAGTTTCCCTGTTGTGTGATGACCTCACCGTTCAAACATGCTTTTCTTCTGCAGCACTCTGTGCCAGGGGCCTCTTCTTCATCCGCCAAAGAACCCTCTTTCTCTGCATGGCATTGGTGCAAATTACACATAATGGCTTTGAAAACTGATTTATGAGAATATACAAACACCAGTTCGAGCCTGTGGAGATAGACCGGACCTTCAGTGGCTCAATGACTAACAATTGCTTCCCACAAGATCCCTATCAAGTGAGCTGCATTTCAAAGAGTCATCCAAAGACAAAAGTGGGGCCATGGGGAGTGTGTTGGCTTTGTGAGGACCTTGTTTCGCAAGTAAATGGGTGGTTTAGGGTTAGCCGTCACAAATCAGTCTATAACTGAATAGAAGTAATGGGAACAGGATGTTTATTTAAAGTAGCTTTAATAGAGGGGTGTGTGATGTAATTAGCATAATATTTTGGGGGACAATTGTGAACCACGTAGGCTGCCAGATTAATACATTTATCAATGAAGAACATTTTTATGGTTAAAATACATGTTTTACTTGAAACAAAGATGATTCTTCAAATAAACCTTGATGTCCCTGTATGTTTGCTGCAAGTCTCCTGTTTACTCCGGGTTTGGATACTTGATTGATTTTCAGTTTATGATAACAGGTTATCTTTATTTTTACCTGTTCTTTGTGGATTTATGACTCATTAACCCTTAGAAGTATGGGGCCTGGGAGTGTTTTTTTCCATCCTACAATTTGCTCTAATAAATTACCTTTTCACTGCCAAAATCCGAAAGTGTTAACACAATAAAAATGCATAAATCCCCTCAAAAAAAGCAAAGACAAGGTCAAAGGCAGGCAAACCTTTCCTAAACCCGTTTACACTGTTCCAAGCACTTTTTGTTTTGTACCAGGACTTTGACAAACACAAGCCAGATCACAGGTCTTGTACTTCCAATGGTTATCCATTCTTTTCATCACTGGATGGCACCGATTTGGGGTCTGTCATTGAAAGACAATCGCATATTTTCTCACATTTAATTTGAATTATTTATTTAAAATATGTCGTAACTCTTCTAATGTTCCCTTAAAACAAAAAAATATCAAAACTGATTACCTTTTTGAAACATAAAATTGTATTTAAAATCAAAATTGAACAATAGGTGGGTCACATTATTCCGACTTAATAAAAAACAGCCGCTGTGATTGGCACATGCACCATGTGTGTGCAGAAACTTCTAAGGGTTAATATTGATAGCTTGATTGTGAATAGCAATCTCCTCATCTGGACTCAATCCCTTTACAAAATCACAGTCACCAGCCCGGGTGACACACAGACCGAACTGACACACTTAATTCTCATTTGAACAGCTTCATGCCGTTCTGTTTGACTGGCGACCTTTATGCACTACATTACCCATGATTCCCAAAGGGGGCATGGCAAAAGCATAACACTTTCACAAAGGAGATACATTTACATTTATATTTACATTTATGCATTTGGCAGACGCTTTTATCCAAAGCGACTTACATTTGAATGAACATGTTTTTTTTTCTGTCAGTTCTTGCTTTCCCTGGGATTGAACCCACAACCTTTGCGTTGTTAGCGCAATGCTCTACCAACTGAGGTAGAGCAGTTGGCGACGCCAACTGTTAGCTTCATTTCGCTTTGCCAGAAACCAGTGGGTGACATCATGAGTAGTGTAGTCAATGGTTTTGCAGAGGCAAATAATGTGAGATGTTTTTTTAAAGTTACTAATGGTGCAGTTCTAGGAGGGAAGGCTCAAATTTGTATTAAAGCTGCTTTGAAAATGGCATAATATGGCCCATTTAGCCAACTAAAAAAGACATTTTCGAGTGAAACTGACATTTTATTCAGCGCTTGTTTGGACACAACTGCATCCAAAACTAATCCCGCGTACTGTGTCTTTAAACTTTTGTGTATGGAGGCGAGGCCAACCAATCAAGAGGCGTATCTATGAGCAGAGGGGCGGGGCTTGGAGAAGACTCGCGTCGAGCAGTGTGAGTGTTTGTTTGAGGCAGTGCTCGTCCTCGACACAGGAAGGATGCGGGCGACAGTCTGTGGACGCGTTGTCACAACTGCGAGATGCATATGTAAACTTTAAAAGAAACAACAAAAGGGATATTTAGAGCACACCCCCGTGGCTTTCAAGGATAAAATCACAAGCTACAGACTGCATGGACCGCAGCTTTAGGATACCTGTAAGTTTATCAATTCATTACATTTAGTAACCATTTGGGTCATAAATAAATTCGTGTTTTTTTATTTATTATTATTTTTTCACATTCCTGCTGCAGATATTTTGTGTATTATATTGGGTTGTGAGTTTAGGAAAACCTTTAATTGCTTCATTGTAAACAGCTACCCTTTCGAATTTACATTTCCTTTGGAAAGCTATTTATTGTTAAATAATAATTATCTCACAACTTACAATTTCAGATTATGTGCAAAAATATATATATTTTTGTCGTTGATAAGAGGCGTTGTATTTCCAAATGTGATATTTATGGGGATGTGTGTTCATTATTATCTCATCCTCTCTCCTCATGGTCTTCTGGATCATTGTTCTTCATGTGCTCGTTCGTTGAACCCCATAAACCAAGCCAAACGTTGTGAAATATTGATTTGCACTCTCGTTTCCCTCGGTAAGCGGCTCACATTTGCTCAATCAGCACACGTCATGCGTCGAGGCACGTCTGCTTGGCTTTTATTGTGATTATGCTAATGATGGGGATCCATGTGCTCCACTGCTATGAAATCAAGCGTGTGTGCTAACTGGCAAACGAGCATGTCTTTGTTCTAAAGTGAAAGCTCCCAAAGGAAACCATTCAGAGCAATGGAAATGACATTGGTGCCCATGGCTAGGAACGAACCTGAACGTCCTGACCTACATTTGGAATGGCTTAATAAAGGTAGACAAGATGTTAAAAGAGGGTTCACAACACAAGGGGTGGAATATGAATACGACCACACTTTATTTCAGTCAGTATCCATTGCAAAGAACATTTTACTCTGATAATAGAATCCTAAAATGGCATTAATTCCTACCAGAAAATGTAGTATGTTCAGTACTTGTTACAGAGGCACCGATACCATTTGGTTAAGATATTTACGTTACATATATGCATTTGACTTTTATGCAAAGCGACTTACATTTGAATGATTGAACACCTTTTTTTTGTCAGTTCTTGCTTTCCCTGGGATTTGAACCCACGACCTTTGCATTGCTAGAGCAATGCTTTACCACCTGAGCCACACGAAACCGGAACCGTGAGTGAGTTCAGGAAAGACTGAGTACAATCACCAATCTTTTATTATTTTTTTCTTACCTGGAACTCGCGTTTCACATTATTCTGCAGTGAATTTGGTTTTGACAATCCATTAAGAGGATTGTAATAGACTCCATTTTGATCAATTTGTGTTTTTTTTTTGTGCAAAAGTGGTTTGAGGAAAATCTACATTTTCTATACCAAAGTGTCCTTAAGCTTGTCAGTCATACAAACATATTTTTTTTATTTTAAAATACATTAAATAATTTCCCAAAATGCATTAACTTAGTTTTTCATAAAATGACACAAATTTACATAATCAATATAAATGTTTTATTTCTTTTTTAATGAAGTGGTTCAAGAACAATAACAATCAACATCGATATTGAATAAAATGTGGCTGGTTCTAGAATAGATCAGTTATACAGCATCAGAACCCACACACAGATATTAAACTCACTGCTTGAACTGCTCAAGTCACTACCCGCCGTCTCTCCTTTCCCTTCTTGGTGACTTTTGGACGTCTCTATTGACTGTGATCAGCTGCATAATGGCCTGATTCTATTCTCTTCATGGTCTTCAAAATGGTGTTTATTGCATTTTGGAACCAAACTCCTCACTTATTTAGCAAAAAGCTATTCAATAGCTGCACAAAAATGGGGCTTGGAGTTAAGGTTGGATATAGTAAGGGAGAGGTCATTAAAATCAGTCCCTGAGGGCTGGTGCCCTGCAGAGTTTAGCTGCAACCCTAATCAAACACACCCGAAACAGCTAATTAAGGCCATACTAGGTATATGAGAAACTTCTAGGCAGGGGACTGCGAGGACTCTGCTGGACACTGACAACCCAGGACTAAATTTGGTGACCCCTGCAGTAAGGGTTTACTAAAAGTTTGCATAACAAACGTTTAAACACCTTCCATTACGATCTTTGTACAAACATCTAGTTTTATTAGCCTGGCTAAAGTCATGAATTCCATATTTGGTCACCTCTAGTTAGAACTGGTCAATAAGGACCAATTTCACCAACCAAGAGCTGCTGGTGGGTATGATGGGTGCATATCGACCCATGTTAATGGAGTTGATCATTTCTGATAAAACCAATTTACTGGCAAGATAACTTTTTTTTTATCAGACACGATCATCTTGTATGCTTGTAGGGATTTGTATGATTTTGTTACATTTATGTAGCTATCAAAGACAATCATGTTTAATTATAAAAAAAAACTGTTAACTTCTGAAAAATGAACTCAGCCTTTATATTGTATCACCGGTTTTTCTATTTGAATAGATCACACAGTTTTTGCTAACACACTTTATGAAACTTTTATGAATGGAAAAATTGATGAGTCATTATGTCAATTAGCCACTCGACTACAGGCACTTAATCTTTAACTGGTTCCCACTGGTTATTTATAGCTCCAGTGAGCTTTTGTCTGTTGACATTTATAAAAAGAAATCATTGGAAATACAATACATGTTATATGGCTTGTGTTTTCCAAAATTCTGTCACAAAAAAAAAAGATCACTATGAAACAAAAAGTGCTTGGGACACTGTATTTGGTTCAGGAGATGTTTGCCTATTTTGTTTAAATACAATTTTCAAGTTTTTCAGGGGGGTTTATGAATTTTTATTTTTGTCTCAACACTTGATTTTTGTTAAACATTTTTTTGGTTAAAGGACAAAATGTACTACTCACAATTATTTATTTCGAAACTATTTTATAATGTAATAAAAAACAGTTTTAAAGAATATTTATTAGAGCAAATTGCAAAGTATTAAAAATGCAGAAAAAGGGCTGAACCGTCTGCTTTATTGGAATAAATATTTTGACATCAGTTTTACTTTTTCCTGTGCATTTTAAAATATGAATCCCCCCATTTTGGATATCAAACATCCTACAAAAGTAAGAAAAGTACATTTTAAACGGGGTGGACCTTTAAAGGCTCAGGTTTGTGCATGGAAACTGTAATGGGCCTAATATAAACAATATATCATTCCATGTTTGACTTTGGTAGAGGGAACTCTATAGAGTGCATCTGCAGTTCTGTGTTTGCACTCGTGCATGTGCAGCAGATGACAAATGTTTGCTTTGTTCCAGAAGTTCAGCACCTGCTGGTCATTCTGGTCCCTAGGTTCATGGGTTTCACAATCATCTCTCTCTTTGCTGTAAACACAGTAGACGGAGGACTTGTTGTATACATTTACTTTAGTTTAATGATTTCCGTTTAACTTTTCGATAAACATCTCCTTGATTTTCTAAATGTTTGGCACTGTGGTGAATCTCCCCCTCACCTGGGCTTTTATGAGGCTGAGCAGTGTTTGCCTCCGGTCGTTCACAGGTGTAGGTTTCTCATTTGCACCCGAACAGCTTGCTCCGTTGCTCTTTTTTCTTCTTTGTTAAAGAATTGCCTTGGGCACTTTAACTCAGGCCATGATGTGGTGCAAGTTCCATACATTGAAAAAGAAGGTTGGATCAAGGCGTCAGGGAGGTAATCAAGAACCCAAAGGTAGAGTTCCAGTGTTTTTCTCTTTAAACAAGATTGCACCAATAAGGTCTTTATGTCTGAGAGGCTTCTGCCTAGTAAAAGACTGAATTTGCCTAAATTAAATTTGCTCAAATCGTGGAGTGTTTTTTAGTGGCAGGAACTAGTAAGGATGAAATGCTCCTGGCTGAAACCCTGTTCCAGACTGATCTTGACCTCAGACTGAAGCGGCTGTTTGTCTTTCAGCAGGACAATAACCCCAAGCTCATTGATAAGATTTATCAAACTCTGTAGATTGGCCTTGGGTGGAATGCCTAGAATCTCGAATAGTATCCTTGCATCAAAACAGGTGTGAACTGACACTTTCCCCGTAATGTGATATGTTCGTGACAAGTATTGTGGCAAGCTTGTGGCATCATAATTAATAAGACTTTAGGCTTAGTGTACAGTGGCTTGCAAAAGTCATAGTTTTCGCGATTTTACGTAATGTTAAATATATTATAAAGAAGACAGATTATTATATGAAAAAAAGTTTTTTAGAATTAGTGTTCAAGAATGAAACAAAACTAGGCATGCGCATAAATTTCGGCACTTGTGCCTTAATTGATTTCATTACCTGTAACTCAAAATTGGTTTGGTAACCTCAGTGACCCTTGACCTCCGTATAGCTGTGAATCAAATGATGAGAAAATGTATTAAAGAGGTAAAATGTAAGTGTTTCTCCTTTTTGCATCTTCTCCAAAGAGTGGCAACACAGGAGTCTCAAAACAACTCCGATGAGCTGAAAACAAAGCTTGTTGAACATCATGGTGTAGGCGAAAGATAACTCAGAAAACTCAGATAAGCAGAGGCACAGGATGGTGAGAACAGTGACAGTCAACCCACAGACCAACTTCAAAAACCTACAACATAATCTTGCTTCAGATGGCATTACTGTGGATGATTCAGCTATTGAGTGAACTTTACACAAGGAGATTCTGAATGGACAAGGAATGCTAAAGCCCATCTGGACAAACAAGCTTCATTTTGGAATAAGGTGATGGATTTTGGGGAAAACAAATGACGTTATGCATGGTTGAAAAACATCATTCTAAACACTTGCTACCTACAGTAAAGTTTGGTGATGGTTCCATCATGCTGTGGGGCTGTGTGGCCTGTGCAGGGACTGGGAATCTTGTTAAAGTTGAGATTCTGGAGAACAATCAGTGACAGTTGAAGTTGAGCCAGGGCTGGATCTTTCAACAAGATAATGACCCTAAACACAGCATTCACGCAAAAAACTACTACAAAGTTCTAGAATGGCCATCACAGTCCCCAGACCTGAAGATTTGTGGTGTAGTTTAACGCGTGCTGTCCATGAACTTGAGATGTTTTGTGACAAAAAATGGTCCAAAATCCTTCTGCCAGAATCCAGACTCTCAATATGAAGATATAGAAAGCTTTCAGAGGCCGTTATTCCTGTTTAAGAGGGATGCACAAAGTATTGAGTTAATTTTGCTTAAAGGATTCACGCACACTTTCCATAAATCGTATAAACGGTATTTCACTTCTCAATCAATGTGTTTGCTTCGATTATGATAAACAACCAATGGTTTAAAAGAAAACATGAACATTTACAGGGGTGCCCAAACTTTTGCATAGCACTGTACATTGATGGTTGACTGATTCTTTGTGTTGCATAGAGATAAAAAAAGTAATATTTTAAACAAAATGTTTAAATGTTTTAGTAGAAAAGATTCTACTAAAATTGTGTTAAAAGTGTGAATATTAAGATTTCTACTTGGATTTTCTTTTTTATCCAAACATAAAAAATGTCATATAGCATGACGTTCACAATTGTGACAATAATTGTTGGTGGGAATTCACGTAAATATTATTAGAACACAAGGAAACTGGAAACTATTGTCAATAGGTTTAAGAGAACTTATCCTAAATAGTTTTAAAATGTCGATGTTCTCCATTGAATAATGATTTAGAAAAACGAAACCAAATGGCCAAATTTTGATTAAAATCATGATTACAATCAAACATGAGTTGAGGAAAATAAATACTCAATTTTTACTCTAAATGAAAGTATGAAAGTTATACGGTCATGTCATACAACAATTGAAAATATTGGTGCAGCAAATTAATAGAAAAAAATGCATATTTTCAACAGAACATCAATAGAACATACTTTTGGAAATTTAAGTGTCAGAACTACACAATAATTTTAATTCTGGCATGATTTTTGAAGTAAAAAAAAAACTTTTTCCAGATTATGTATCAACCGCCTACATATGTGTTACCTAAAAATAATAACCAAAGAAAATTCTGATCTATTGTCAGTACTCCCCCACAGCAGCATCAAATACGCCCTTCCTGTAGCTGTGGAACAGATCTTCAAATAGAAATGCACAGTGGTGGAAACAGACAGGTTATGGTTTTACAGCAGTAGTACAAGTGCTGTGTGAGAATATACTCATTACCATCTTGTCCATGGGTTCAGGAAATTCCAGGAATTTAAACC